CCCTACATAAACAGGAACGACAACGCAACGTGTGGCACACCCAGCTGTACAAGGGCAGCTAAAATCCCAGGGCCTGTTAAAAAGGGACAAGGACAACCTTCACACCTCCTGCACCTGAACAGTATTTACCACAAGAAAAGCTAAATAGGAAGTTTCTGTGCCCATCAAAATCCTGATCCAAAGCTCAATTATATTCAGGGACTTTTTTTTTTTTCTTGGAGGAGGCCTAACCAAAAGCGTGGTTTAATTAAACAACAGGCATCTTCCTAATACTAACCAGATTTTCTCAGTATTGTCTAATGCTGGCAGGAAACGTATTACTGCACATGCAATCTCTGGAGAACGCTGCCTTTTTCTCATTAGCTTTTTGCACAGCAATTAATCCCCTTAATCAGTCAAATCAGTTCAACACTAGATCACAAAAGCACCAAGAAAAGAGAAAACAAGAAATTACCTTGTTAAATTTAACGAGCAAGGAAAAACATACACTGCATGGGCTGTAACAGTTCTCCACACTCCAGCATGGAAAAATTTAAGTGCCTGAGCAGTAACAGGAGTCCACAGAATTACAATCATTTTGTCTGTAACACTGAAAACTGCATAATGCAACAGAGCAAAAAATTCTTTTGCTTATGAAAGCGTACAGGCGCAGAAAAAAACCCCACCATGTAGCCAGCTTCATAAGGATGTTATATTAGAAAACAGTTCAGTTCTGCGATACTGATACTGCCTTTACATGCAATGATGGTGTAAAACCAGTACAAACTGTATTACAAAGCAGAGTGTCAGATTTTCTTCTGTACTTGCTGCTGCAGTTAAAGGAAGTCCGAGCTTTACAACTGTTTATGTGGCCAAAAAGGGTTGCAGTTCCCCAGCTGTACACGGTACGAGCAGCAGTAAGCAGGTGATACATTAGAACTTATTCACTATTCATTTTAATCACGTAGGAGAGCTCCAATCCAAAACAATTATCCTGTAGGGGAAAAAAAAAAAAAAGTTACACGGTTGGTTTTTTCTTATATTAAACTACAAGTTGAAGGGAATGGGATTTCATATCACCCCTTTCGCCTCCTCGGCATGGAAAACAAGAGTGTATCTCATGCAGCCAGAGAATACACAAATTTCTACCAAAAGCCCAGTTTAATTCAGAGAGGCTCACCCGAACGGCAAAGATGAAGACAGCTATTCCTCTAAGTGGGATTTCTGATCTTCAGGACGTGTGTCTAAAAAACATGTAAATTCAGCTGAAAACCAAGAACATACACACACAGCCACACACCACTTCAAAGAGAAAGCTCTAGTTTTGTCAGCACATAGCAGCGTGCCGAATCAAGCGCTACAGACCTCTTTGCTAGATCTATTAAGTTGCACTTGTAATCAGAAACCAGCCTCAGCTCTGTTGCTATTGGGTGCATTACACAGGACCCTCTCTGTGATCAGAAATCATTCTGTTTTCAAAACCCAGAGCCCAATCCCTACCAGCTCAGTTCTTCTGGAAGTCTGTCAGAAAATAGGGTCATAGATGCTAATGCTGTGCAAATAACAAGCACAATGATGTTACCTCCAGATCGCTAGGTTTAAAAATTACCATCAACATTTCCAAAAGTAACTAGTGATCTGGGACATTTCAAACTTTGGGTGCCCAACTGGAAAGCAAAACGTGTTGTGGAGCTGACTGCTGTACAAGTGTTAAATGCCCACAATATTGAAGATCAGCCTCCTTTAAGTCACCTTGTGCTACACACTGAAAAACCAAAAGTTCTGTCTGAAAATGAAAGGCTGCCTTTTTCTTTCCAGATAAAATGCCAGTTCTTTTATATTTTTTGCATAGCACTAAGTGCACATTAACTTAATGCAAGTATGTCAGCCCCCTCCTTGTAACAAGAAACATCTCTAATGAGAAATGTTGAA